ATATTTTCCTCAGAAATGTAATTCCATAAACATTAGCAATTTCATATTATACAATTATTCTGAAAGAAATATGATTCTCCTGCCCCAGGTTTAACCAATGTTGCTACAGCTAGCTGCTGCTGCTGTTTGTGCTTGCAAACAGATTAGACACAAACAGTTGTATAAAGTTCATTTTATGTTGAGGTACATGTTTCTAAAATATTCTCCTACTAAAAGTAGACGTTCTTGTTCTATTTACCAGCTTTACAGTGTATCATTTATAATCCTGTTTCATTCAATGGAATCCTGTTGGATTTTCAGAACAGCTAAAGAAAAAAATTAAAATAAAAAGAAGAAACATATTTCCTTTTGTCCTTGATTGCAACTGAGGCATACTGTGCAGGCAGCTGCAAATACTCATGTACTGTAGTTCTGTCCAAGTGGGTGTGTCTTCACTCAGGACTCTGAGGGTTTTTTCAGAGTTGAACTGGAGCTGAAACCAGTGGATCTGGAGTCTAAGAGAGAGAAAACTGAGGACTAACTTCAGGCAGCTGTTTGTCATGACAGCAATAATCCAGGGAGCAGCRAGGAGAGAACAGAAAACATCTACGATGAAAAGAGCAGCAGGTAATTTAACAAAAGAGTTGCTATAATTTTAATAATCTAACTCTTTTGAGCATGTGATTTATATAAATGTAGTCTGAGGTTGTTTATCCCATTTAAAGGCTGTAAAATCCTTTTAGGTGCTAAATTAAATGATTTATTACTGAATGTTTCAAACATTAGAGTGATAGATTGTTTAATTTTATTTATCTATTTATTGTTAACGTAACAGACCAAGATTAAAGCCTGCTGACCAGGTTAAATGTTCCTGTGAAAAACAGGTAAAACGATGAGACAGGAGTGTTTTCAGTTTGCCTTGCATCTGCCATATTTATTGATAAATTCACATATTTTCAAAATACAGCACGTCATCTAAATATTCATCTTGATAAATACAATTTTTATTACTGAGAGTAGTTATAGAAAAACTAAATACAAATTTTACATTTGGTGCATCTAAAAAATAAGAATAATCATTTGTTTAAAGTTAGATTGAAAAAATGTTCTTAATCATCACAGTTTAGCTTTTTTTGTTTTGTTTTTCCTGACAAAAACAATGTATCTGATATAAAATAATATAGTTTTAGTGTTTATTTTTTTCAAATGACTATGATAATTAGAAATCATCTGTGAAAGCATCTCTCCACTGGTGTTCCTCCCCTGCATTAAACTCCAGGTTGATGATATTTTACAACAAACAGAACAATTAAAATTCTTCACTATCCTAAACACAGTGGGTTCCATTTGTTTTTTCGTTACTTTTAATTTCCTGCCAGGGAAAATCTGCTGATCCAATAAAAAWTACCAATAAATCCAGATCTGGCATTGCTAGGGAGCATTATGGGATTAAGCTGAAKGTTTGGCAGGATGTGTTGTTACTGAAGGACGCAGTGATTTGTTGTAGGGCATAATTTGTGCCAAATCATAGGTGGAGGGATACATCAATCAAGCACGTTATGGATCCATAATTGTTTCCAGTTCCTCTGACTTTTCCCTGAATAACAAACAAACGAGAGCTAACAACTCCAACAGTGAAGTCGGTCACCACAGATCAGAGTTGGATGTAAAACATTTTCCCAACACGGTGCCGGCTAAGAAGCTTCCAGATGTGGTTCCTAGAAGACAATAAATAACAGAAGATGGTACGTGCTCGCGGAAGATCGTGGGAAAACAAAACTCCAGCCATCTTTGATCAGTCTGAAACAAACAGACGTCTGGAGACAAACATCAGGGAGGACAGCCTATAAAAGCTTTATAGTTTTTCATCGGCCTTTCTCGTTCAAAATCAAAAAAMCTATGTTTATTTTGACGTGCATCGTCCAAAGCTTCTGCTGAAATGACCAAATGTATCAAAGGAATGTGGAAAAAAAGACAAAACATGAAAAAGAAAAGATGACCTCATGTAAGAAAACACATTTGAGATGATTGATTGTTTCTGGAGTTTTTAGCTATAATTTCATATCCATCAAGGAATTTATAGAAACATTCACAGGAAATGAAAGGTCAGGTACCTCAATGGTTACAAAATTATAACAGATATAAATTAAAATTTCTAATTCATAACTCATGGCATTCTATGTTAATTGTTATAAAATTAATCTAATTATTTATTTAAAAAAATGTATTTATTTCAAAGGATGGAATTTGTAGACAAACATTAATATTTATGTTGATGTGAATGTTTAATGAGCCGGTTTAGTGGTTTTTGTACATTTAAACATAAATGGGTCACAAGCTATTGTCAGAATCATTTTCAAGGTCAGTATAATTGGAGATAACGAACAAATTTCCCCACTGTGGAATTAATCTTATCTTATCTTATCTTATCTTATCTTATCTTATCTTATCTTATCTTATCTTATCTTATCTTATCTTATCT